GTGCCACATGGGTGCTCTGTGCTGATGTACCCAGGAAGCACAGCAGGCTGTCCCCAGGAGCTGCCACGGAGTGAGCTCTGCAACTCAGCCTCTGCTTTGAGGACACAGCATGGCTCTGTGTCCCTCCCTAGACGAGGCAGAATACAACCAGTATAACCTAGAGTATTGCTATTAAAAATTCAAACATTAATGTTTTCTTTATTGCAAAGTCAGACCTCTAACCTTAACTGAACGCCAGCAGCAGAAGCGCAGGCTCCATGATTTAAGCAGCATGCAGGCTTCAAGACCTTCTTAATATGCAGTCATCTTCAGGCAATGAGGAAAATATGCAACATCAAAACATTTTTTTTTTTTTTTTTTAAAAGTACACTAATCCTTGGATTTGATTGCTGGAATTAACTCCAAATAGCTGATGCTCACAAACTTGTGTATTAGAGACAGTAAGTCGGGTATGCAATGCCTTGTGTGATTGAACACTTAAATTTAACACTTAAACAACACTGCTGGGCTTTAGAAATAGAGTTCATTCTGCTTCAGAGCTCACAGAGCTGAGACATACACAAACAGCTGAAAAATCACATACAGTTGGTACAGGGAGATTTTTCCTAAAGGATTACCATAGCCTAAATATTTCTTTAAGCCCTACCCGAACAGTGGTTGACCCAATATTGTGGGAGATGATGTATTCACCCAAAAATAGAACAACCCAGCTACAGAACGGGGTGCTGTGAAGTCTGGACCTGAGCACGAAGGATCTCAAGGGTGAGTCTGAGCAAAACTAATTGGGAGGCAAATCAGAGGTTAGAAACTGTGGGCTGCTTGCACCTCTGCCAACTTTCAGCTTTACCTCCCTGCAATCTGAACCTTACCTGAGGTCAGTGGGACTACAGCCAACAAGTGTGTCCTTCACATCCTAGCACTTACCCAAAATTAAATCAATACATTACTGAGATAAGCCTTCTCTCAAGATTTCCCTCATGCCCACAGATTGTGGCTCCTTTTGTCCTTACAATCATGTGCTGCTCTGTGATTATTCCAGCCTGGGTCACGCTGAGGATCCACAGGATCCCTTATGGGGACTGAGAGTGTAACTTCAATTAAGCCACAAGTTTTTTACAGTGCTCAGCAGAACTACTAAATGGAGTACAGATGGTGGAATGAGGCCTACTGTACTCATCTGACATCTAAAAGCTCTGTTCCTCTGTCCACAGAAAACTGTTTGTGCCTATCATTAGATGCATGTGTTGCAGGAATTTTGATTCAGCTTCACTGCATGAGGATCACATTTCAACAGTTGCTTCATCTGAAAACAGCCCAGCTTGGAGGCAGCTCTGAGGTTTTGTGTGGCAACAGCAGAAAGGAAAGATGATTTAAGTACACAGGAAGCAAGGCTAGGGGAATTTTTGTCACTTTGCAGGAAGTTGGACCATCTTCCAGACTGCTTTGTGGAAGAAAACAGTGCTAAGTGCCACCTGCAAAGCCTCATAATAGTAACGAGCATCTTACAGACACCAACACTGAACTTTCACTGCAGAAAATTTAGAACAGACTGTGACCAAACAAAATTTCACTGAGTGTTAGGAGGAACTGCATCCTTAGATAGCAATCATCATACTGTAACGTTCTGCAGTCTCCACTGCCTTATTATAAAGATTCTTTTGTTCTGCACTTCAACATCTGGCATGATGTACTTTATTCCACTGTGCTTTTGGAAAATATGCTGTGGTCACTGACCACGTTTAATACATGGCTGAAATGTCACATGCACCAAGCATTGCTTGCCTACAGTGCTATCCATGTAACGGCCCAATCATCCTCCTTGGAACGTTACAGTAAGTAATTAATAACATCTCTGGTGTACAGGAAATCACTATCTTGTGTCTGTTGGTCGTTTTGGTTTCTTTTCCCCGAGTTGAATTTTCCATTCAGATTTGATTACAGTAACTACTCTCTTGTGGGAATGGCCACAGAAAGAACAACTCAAGCTCAGTCAGCTTGTTACTAATTAACTTTGTGAATGGGACTTCCCATAGGTCAAACAGCTTCTTCTGGACTTTGGCATAAAGACTGAAATTCCCTAAGCTACCACAGCAGGATTGGCTGCAAAGCAAAAGCTGCTGGTTAGTATACTGTATTTAACCAGTGAGCTTCTTAAATCAAGTTTTGGTACCTTCATCAGAACTCCTCCAAGTGAAATTGCTTACTGCACAGCACTGTGCTCACAAACACAGACCTGCCTATAGCAGGAACCATCGCCACGCTGCTGCTGGAAGTATTTCCCTACCAGGCATTCCATTCCAAGCACAAAATTGCACCTTTGAAATTGGAATCTACCAGACATTGACACCTACTGCAGTTACATTTGTGGTGCTTCAATTCTTTTTCTAGTAGAAAAAAGCCCAGAGCAACACGAGGAGGAAGGACAGCACTGCATTACTCTCCTAGTAAGCTGAAAATACAAGTTGAGCTTTTTGAATTGGGTTGCTTTGTTTGGATCAGTGCTAAAGGCATATTAAAAATCATACTGCACTCTAGAAACAGCAGAAAAGAAACCAAGATCTAGTAGCACATCCCTGCTGAAATTCCAGTTACACAGAACACAAGAATCTGGCCTATTTGTCTTCGTTCTCCTTCACCAGTGAGATCTGTCAATACCTTGAAGCCTGTGACTCAGCCTGCCTGCAAGCATAACTGCCCCTGAGAGGGCAGGATCCACTTTCCAAAGTTACCTCCATTTAAGACAACCTCCATGTCTGTGAAAACAAATCTGAAATAACTGACAAAAGCAAGAGCAAGAAAAGCACAATTTTACTTCTGCATGTTACAGCTATTGGACTTCCTAAGAGATCTGCATGCCAAAGGCCATCTGCATTTTTCCTATACTTGCATACAGGCCTAAAACAGCTCACTGGAATATAAATTCCACTGTTTTCAGCTATCTCTCATAGCAAAACATGAAATATTTGAAGCTAACAAGTCGTTCCAAACTGTGGATTAGGGGGAATACAGCCACAAAGAGCTCTCATAACCCAGCCCACTACAAATCCAGCCACTGTTCCACCACACATCACGCACTACTACTGACATTTTTACAAGTCAGAGGTAAAACACATCAGATTAATACACACTGCCTCTAATCCAACTAAATACAAAGGATACCACATCTTCAGTGAGACCTCTCATTTTTCTTCCATTTCAGCTACAGTCTTTTTGAACTGAGGCCCTTCCAGCTCTAGTCCTTTGCCAAGAGAAACATGCAAACTTGAGCAGCTCAATACTTCTGACCACAAACAAGAAGTTGTCCTCTCAAGATGTGCTGATTTTCTCTAGCAAGTCTTGTGTCAGACAAGAATTACACAATGGGTCGAGCAACTCATCCATCCTCTGCTCCTGAAACTGAATTTCATGCACTCTACATTAAAAAGTTAGCATATCTTCCTGAATTAAGAGAGGAGTGTTTGCTAAGAGAGACAGAAATATGCAAAGTGTGGTATTGGTCCAAGGCTGGCCAATAACCAATTGTACTTCAACCTTAGAAGGAAGAACTCCCTACCACAGAGGGTATCACAGAGAAAGGAGAACTCAGTGTAATTTTTGCTGCTGGTGAACCAAAAAGCAGAGTATCAGTTAGTAAAAAAACAACTGTATTTGTCCCATGACTCCTTTCAACCAACCTTTCAAAGAAAGCTCTAAATTAAAAAGCTATGCTCTTTGAAAACTAAGCAGGTATCCTATAAGGAAGAACAGATCAGAGGAAGACAATTTTCACAGTGTACCATGACTAATCTTGGCATATATGGTACTGGAACAGCAGTCACCAAGTACAAATGAAAGCAGCATTGAACCCTGGCCTATTTATATCAGATGAAAGCCACAAACCTAGCCATGCTTCTGCTTAGTGCTGCATTTTTTTCCTATCCTGATAGCTTTTACAGCTGGAGAAACAGCTACTTACAGCACGATTCTGCTGTACAAAATGATTGCTACTTACAGCTATTGGGATTATAGTTGAGTATGTCACAGAAAAGGAGGGTCAGTGGAGGCAAACTAACAGCTCCTGGGGATGGTTAACTACTGCCAGGCTGCATCAGATCCTTTCCTTCCACACAAAGTGGAAGACTTGCTTGGAAACCCTTGATCTCAACTTATGCTGTACTAAACTATATTTAAGAACCCCATAAAAAGTTCACAAAAGCTGTTCTACGTGAACAGCAGCTCATGGTTCAAAGATCTTCCTCACTTAACAGTGCCTTTTGTGTGCATTAAACAAGAATACTCTCAAGTCACACTTTAACCTAGATGTTTTAGTACTTATAATCACAGCCCTGAGTGCGCAAACCGAATACATTAAGTGCAATTCATCAAGCCCAGTTTTTAGCCAGGCCAGCATACAATAACACTTGTTTTGTAGCAATATTTGGTGTTTTGAGGTTGGAGCTAAGGCATTCAAGTGCTAAGAAAGTTGCAACTCCTTCTCCCATGCTCCCCTCTTCTTCCACCTATTTCTTAAGCATTCTCGGGAAATGAAAGTGGAAGCAAGCAGCAGTTGCTTGTTATGGATGTGTTCTCCTCAGTGAAGTAACACTCGTCACCATATACTTCATTCAAGATATGAATCTCAAACGATGTGAATCTCTGTGATGATTCTGATCATAGAGTGGATGAATCTACATCATCTCTATTATGAGAATGAGAGGTGGAGTATCAGATTCACTCACTAGTATATCTAGTGAGAGCTCTGTGGGTCTTTCAATTCCTAGAAAACATTCTCACTTCCCAACAGAATAACCACATTTATCTCTTGCTGACCACGCTTCACTGATAAAATAACACTTCCTAAAAAAAAAAAAAAAAGCCCCTCTATGACTTCCTGTGCTCATCCCAACCCTGAACTGAAGTGGCACAACTCCAGTCTCCAATGGATTAAAATTATGCCAATTGCCATAGAGATACAAGTGTTCTTTCCCCCACTGGAAGTAGGCATGCAGAAAAGGACACACCTTTGGAGTGTTTCCCTGAAGGCCTCTTGGGTAATGACTCCTCAATGGAATGTGTTGATGTATGTAGGACATTTTCCAAACTGTTACTGACACTGTTTATGGGGGTCTCGGACCTTGCAGTGACCTGGAAAGAAAAACACAAAAATCTGATGTAATAAACTCGGGTGCTCAACACCACACCTTGCTCCAGCTTTGAAGGCAGGTAGGAGGTGGATGCTTCCAAAACCCAGCAGCAATGCCATCAATATTCCACAAGCAACAGCCCAGGGACGTTGTTGTAGTCAGCAGCTATTCATAAATCTAGATTAGCCAAGATAATCTATAAAGCTACTTAGAGTATAATTCTTTTTTAAAGAATAGTCACACAGCAGTCAATCGTAGAGATATTAAGCTCTCCACACTGCAGTCCTTAACTTTTCAGTGAGAGAACACAGAGAGAGAAAGGGTTCCTGGAAAACATCAGTCACTTTATGCTATGTCACCTACCCATGCAGAGGCAGACTTGAAGGCATTTCCAAGTATTTCCACATGGACTACAAGGAACAAAATCCACTTTAGGGAAAAACTAATCATTCTCTCTGCTGTTTGGAAGCCCACTTCAATGAAAAACAACATGCTGAGAATGCCCAAGCAAAAGACTGCATCATCATCAGAACCAACTTCATGCCTTAACGTGCACCTTCTCTATTGCATTTAGCATGAGAAACCAATTTCCACCGTCACTTAAAATTACAGAAGCAAACATAAATTATTAGAAAAAGCAGAACCAAACACTGCCCACTTCAGTTGCTGTCCACAGGACCATTCACAATTACGTAGCAAAACAAAAACATCTATTACTTGTGGCAAAACAGTCAACGCCTGCCTCATAAGCAAGGCAATTACTCTCTTGTTCTGTAGGTAATGAGAAGCAGAAGTGGACGAACAGTTACATTAGCAGCACTGAACACAAAGATGTAAGTATCTCAAAGAGGAAAATGTGTTTTGAAGAGGTAGTGAAGGCTAACAAAAGCACTCCTAATAATGCACTACTTCCATTGCAATTCCACGTCTTGAGTTCACGTGAAACCCTGCAGTAGGCAGAGCTGGAATTAGAACTGAACATCAATTTTAGTCTTTGATGAATCAAAGCAGAAAACGCTCGTCTCAACATTAGCTTCCCTCAGCTCAGGGTAACCAGTAGCACAGAGCAGCTCCCTGCAGCAAGGCTCCCTCACACCCTGCATACATCAGAGTGCCACGAGCTGGGACAGCTTGCACTGAGATCCAGACAATGCAAGTCAAAGCCAGCACAAAGCTCTGTACAGTTAGCTAGTGCAGATCCCATCTACTACTGACATTTAGACACATTTTAAGGCAGTAACACAAGTGGAAGACTTGCTATGGCTGCAGACACAGAAAAACTTACATGTGCGAAGAAACCAACCCAGAAAGGCAGAGGAATGTCACAAGAAAGCAGGATTGCAAGTCCCTGCCTTCCTCCTAAGACCAGCGCTCTGCTTCCAGATTGAAAAGTTTACTTCTCTCCCTCCCCAGCACAGCTTTTCACCAATAAGAAAAACGTAGCGTCAAGCTCTCGCACTGACAATACGAGCCATTAAACTAAGCCTGAAGGAAGGAGGAGATGATTCAGATCCCCCTGCCAAAGGCAGCCTTCCCCAGTGAGCTTCCCTCGCGCTGTGCCTCTCCTGGAGCTCATTAAGCTCTCGCTGCTCTGGGCTGAGCAACCCCAGCAGCCTGCTGCCAGGGGAAGGACTCCCAAGGGCAGCTAAATAACACAGTAAGCTACAGCATTACATTCAGGGCAAAACCACCTTACCCAAAACAGCCAGGTTCCAAAGATTGAGATCAGCAAATAAAAATAAGACTTGAAAGTGAATAAGAGCACAGGCACACGGATTCAAAAAAATCCCCAAGCAAGCAGTCTGCATCACAATGTGTTAGCTCCTATCTCGTACTCCCTTCTGTCCAGTATTCCTGCTTTAAGCGTGACGTGCAATTTAAAATTTGCATTTTCTTTATAAATAACCTCCAGCTCCTTCCATAAAGATTTAATTTTTATATGCTCAGTAAAGAATAACCTAGCCCATATGTCCTGACTGCCTGAGCTCATGCGCAACCTGATTCAGCCACACATCAAAGCAAAGCAGCTTCAGATGGGCTCAGAACAATCACAGAGCCCTGATGACTTCCAAATGGGGCTCTTCATTAGTGAGAGCTGATTGGTGTTAGAACCACTGAATCTCTGCCTGCTCGAAACTTTTGTCCCAAACTTCAGATCAGTTTTTCCACTCACTTAAACATACCGATATCGCAAAGGCTCGGATGTGGTTCCAAAAAAGTAGAATAAGGAAAAACATTTCATGGATCAGTTTTATTTCCAAAGATGTAGCAGTATTTTTCCAAAATTATTTGAGGCTGAGCAAAACCAGAGCAATAGTCCATCAGCTCTGAGCTGCAGAGGATACTGTCCTTGGAGGGTGGGGAGAAGCTGGGAAGAGATCAACTGTAGCTTCTCAGTGAGGACTTGGCTGAAGCAAACTGCAGGAACAACTGGCAAAGGTTGGCTTTCTGAAGCAGTAAGAGTCTGCAGCAAAGGTGGTAACCTTACAAAGACAACAGAAACAGCCAGGCTATGTATCACAACAGGCTGCAGAAGTGACATTTTATGCGTGCTTTATGCACGCAGAAAGAAAAATCACAGATCATTCAAGGCCTAAGAGGGCACAGAATGAGACTGAGGGGCTGGATTTCCAAATAACGTTATTTTTGAGATCACCAGCAGAAAGAGTTCTAAAAAAACTAACCAAATACAGTAGTAATCCTAGAGAGATAGAACACTAAAGGATTCTTCACTGTACCTCGCTCCATCCTTGGCAAGGCATTCCATTGAGGGCCAGAGACCAGGAGAGCCCTGTGATGCACCATCCATTGCTGCATTCAGATACTGGCAGTGTAACACCAGCGCTGGCTCACAGAAGATGCACACACACAAGGGTGCAGAAGAGATGGTTAAATTGCTTTTATTTTAAATTTGTGCCCACTCCCCTCCATACCAAAGCAGCTGGCTCACAGCTACACTTCGGGTCTTCCAAATGAAAAGCAGGCTTGTCTCTTGAACCTCCAAGTTAAAGCAGTTGCCATAATCAAGAGCAAAAAATTCACTGTAACTAGTGACGGGTTGAGATTCTGCTTGAATTCTCCTTTGCCTGTTCTCCGTGGTAGCAATGCCATTCCATCCTTTCCAAGGGGTCCCTGGGAGACACCAGTCTGCAGCCCCCAGCCCTGCAGCTGGCTGAGAAAAAGCCCTGCTGCTGCCTGCAGGCATCAAATGCATCAAGGTACATGATGAAGCTACTGCCAGAACTTCAGCCATTATCACATCTTTCCCTCTTTAACTGCCAGCAAGCATCTTTTTGTTCAGCAGAACACAATTATTTCCTTCTCAGTATCAGCTGTACCAACAGGCATAGATTTTATTTTACTCTTTTTAGGATTTTGCAGTGCTTTCTTGACTTTATCCATCAGGAAGCACACCACAAACTCACCAAGAGCAGTTCACCCCAACAGGTGCTGCTTCCTCCAACAGCTGCTGCCCAGCACAGCTCTGCCACCAGGCAGGACAGCTGAAGGCAGAGCAAAATGTGACAAATCCATGGTGCCAGATGCAGGAACTGTTTGCTGCACTCCCCAGGGACAGCATCAATTTCATGCAGGAAAGCCTTTCAGAAAAATAACAGGACTGATAGAGGTCAAACAATGTGGTAAGAATTGTTATTTTTCTTTTATAAGTGAAAACAACAATCATGCATTCCCTTAAGAATAACTAAACAGAACAGGGAAAATATATGGCTCAATAACAAAGTATTTGCTGATTTAGCTTGAAATGGAGCCAATGCTAACAAATCAACAGGCTTGCTACCTAAAATGTAGCACGGCCTATAATTCAAGGAAACAACGATATAAGATTTAAAGGAAGAACTTCTCAAAAAATATATATATCAAGAGGGATAAAATGTTGTTTTCTATCCCTATTAAGGCATGCATTACACAGGAAAAAAGTGAGCACAATCTAAGAATGGAGTCAGCTAAGTGAGATACTATGGCTGCAGCTGAAAGGAGCTGATATTGCAGAAAAGCCCAACAGAAGAACTTCTGCTATTACTCGCCTTCAGAAGTCCCCTTTCCAAAAGGTCTGTCATAGTTTTAAGCTGACCTGTGTTAAGACCAATGCAGATAACACATAACAGAGCACTCAGGAATCAAAACACTGAAGTCCAGGGGAAAAAAAAACAGTCAACTCCATTCACTCCTGCCAGTTTCATATTAGTGAGCATTAACAGCAGCTTATTTTGAGGTTAACACCAAGGTCTTTAACACAGTGCAATTCTGTTTGCAGAAGTGCTGCAGCTTGATGGCACTGATACAGCCCCTGCATGCTTAGGCAGATAAGCTGCTATTTGCCAACAGATAGCTAGCTCAGGTTCCCAAATCTTTTAGAAGAAATGCATTGCTAACACTCCTTTGTCAGCCTGCTGATGCATGACGTTGCTCAATAGGTGAAGTCTGAACCAGAAAGAACAGCAAGAAAGGAAAGCCCAAAAGCTCGTAGGACTGGAAACCCATAAGGAACAGGATGGGGCAGCAGCAAGCCACCACCAGAACCACAGCCTCAGAACCAGCCTGCTTTCACTTCCAGATGCAAATACCTCTAAGTCCCAATGTCTAAAATTACTCCTTTGGCAGATTAAAGGTTTTACTGATCTTCCCCCCGAATGCTTAAGGAGCACCCACAGACACATCCAACTTCTCTCATAGCCACTGAAACCTTCAGCACTGCTCCACACTTACTTTAAATGCACCTAGAGGCTTTGTTGGAGCTAAACGTAGCTGAAGGTGCTACTGGCCAGAAACTCACTGTAATTCCAACACTTGGTGCCCATCAAAAAAGCTGCACCAGACACAAGTGGGATGCGTCCATGTTTTTCAACAGCGACTCTTGTAGGAAGATGGTGAGAAGGCAATTCACAGTAAAGCAGGATAATAGATTGGTTGCTTTTGTCCTGTGAGACCATTACTGGGATGAAATGAGGCATGCAGTACTTAAATACTTCAGGATAATCA